AAAGCAGCACTTCTGAGAATACCGGAAAACCAGAGTCTCACATGCCACTAACACAGCCACTTCCAGAAAAGTGTTAAACAGTTCTTCAGAAAATTAAATATGCATTTACTATCTCATCTGGCAAGCATAGTCCTGGACATGTATATGAGGTATATGGAAACCTATACTGATATAAAAACTTACCCAGAAATGTTGGCAATAGCTTTATTTAAAATAGTCATAAACTAGAAACTAAGCAAATGACCTTTAAGATGTGAATGATTAAACAAGCCCTGATACATTCATGTCATAGAGTATTATCCAGAAACAAAGAGGAACAAACAATTGGCATGTACAATGGCCTTCATAGATCTCTTCAAGGCATATGTTTAATGGAAGAAAAAGCCAATCTCAAAAGATCATATGCTATGATTTGAGCTCCTTAATTATCAAAATGACAAAAGTATAGAGATAGAGAACAAACTTGAGGGTGGTGGACTAAGGGATTGGTAAGGATAGGATGTGAGTGTGATAAAGGATGGAGCTGAGATGACGTCTTTGCACTGGAGCGGCTCTTTACCTTGAACACAGTGGTACTTGCAAAAAAACCTATATGTAAGCTGGGCGGAGGTGGAGCACACTTTTAATTTTGGGAGGCAGAGGCAGGTGGACCTCTGTGATTTGAGGCCAGCCTGGTCTACAGAGCAAAAGCCAGGACAGCCACGGCTACACAGAGAAATCCTGTCTCAAAAATCCAAAAACAACTACATGTAATATACATACTTGAACCCACTTCGGGTCGTGGCTGTGATATGATACAATTATGCAAGATGGAAGCACACCGAAACATAAATATTCTGGATCACATGTCAAAGAAACTTGAGAGAGATTTCTCCAAATCTGACAATTCAAAAAACCCACATGACATTACTAATGAAGAAAAGTGAAACTGAATCTTTTCTAAAATACTAATAATAGCAAGTTTTGATCACCCATACTCCAAAGATCTTTATTTCTATATATTATCTATGGATAATATGACAAAATTGCATGGTGAAGGGACCAAAACATAGAGAGATAAAAAGTAGTAAAGAAGTATTAGAGGAACTGTTGGTTTTTTGCTTAACAGAGTTGCTCACTTCTTACCAACTCAAGTCTAGTTGAGCCATCACATGCTTCTCAGAAAGCTGCCCACATATTTAGCTCTGGGCAGGACTGTTTTAATGGCCCACATTTTGAAAAGGTCATGAGGAAGTACAAAAAAAGTCAACTCTCTACTCTCAGCGGAAAATCACTTGGTTCTATTTGTACCAGATATGTTTAGGGGTTGAAAAAAAGAAAAGGGCTTATGAAATGCACTTGATTTAATCTGGCCCTGAATAGTCAGGGGACTGGGTGACCAGACAATTCCTGAGGGGCCTAGGATTTTTATACAGTTTAGGGAGCCACTTTAAATTACTCATTTAAATTAAGCATAAATATGAATAGTTTATGAATATATAAAAGTGAGTTTTATGAATAGGGTGAGAAATTATGATAGACTTCAAAGTTTTCATAAACTCCTGATAAGTTATATAATATTCTTCATTATTTTCAAAAGCCCATGATAAATGCCAATTTCACAGAGTCTGAGAAAATTACAAATGTTGCTTACTAGCTGTCTGCTAAGCAGCAGTTGTTACTTGGAGAGTCCTTTTGGGATCACTCACTGTGTCCAACAGGTAATGCCCTCTTTGTTTCATGTGAGCTCTGTGTGTGTGGGGAGGATTTCAATCAATCCCAAATTAAAAATAGCCCCACCAAATTGCTTCTGTACTGAGCATATAGATCTTTTTTCCTTGTCATGATTCCCCAAACAATGTGGCACTACAGTTGTTTACATAACATTTGCATTGTAGGAAATATCAAAGGCTTTTAGAGACCACTTAAAGTATTTAAGATTATGGCATGGGTTCTGAACAAATACTACCCCATTTTTATAAGGGCCTTGAGCATCTGTAGGGTTTATTATTCATAGAGAGTCCTGGAATAACATTTTCAAACAACCAATTATATATTCGTTCATATTTGTGATGTTATAAGTGTTCTGTAGGTAAGGAAAGAATTACAGAGGTTAGACAATGAGGACGTGTCTCACTGGTACAGCACTTGCCTAGCATGCTTGAAACCATTAGTTCTATCACTTGTAGCACATTTAAAAACCCAGATATCTTGCCTTTGTTCTTAGTTACACGATGGCGAGTTACAGTTTTTAATGCATCTTTGAAGTCTATGTTCTTATGCAGCTTATCACAATTCTTGGGAATAGCAAAAAATGATAAGCATTTAGGGATCTGCTTTAAATCATTAATATAAAGTTAGGCATAAGTGTGAATGCTTTCTGAATATATAAAATACATTTTTATGACTGAAATGAGAAATAAATCATAATAGTCTTCAAAGTTTCCAAAAACTCCTGATAAGCTACATAGTATTGTTCAGTATTTTCAAAAGCCCATGATAAATACAAATATCAAAGAGTCTGAGGAGGTTATGAAACTTTATTTGTTGCCTGACAATTTTCTATACAAAATGAGCATCTCTATTACAAATATCTTCATCTGGCAAAAAGTAACGACACAGGTCACTGAATGCAATCATACCCAGGATCAACCACCTGTCTTATCCTCATGCTACCACAAAAAACAAAGATAGTACTATCTGATGTCTCAAGTTGAATGTCACAGAATTAAAATTTCTTTCTTCAGGTTTATATTCTCAAGGATGGACTGTGTTATTTAATCCAACCTTTAGTATTAATGCTAGAAAGCTGAAATTCTAAACACTCCAAATTTTATGGGGAAGGCAGTCTTTAGCACCACAATCCTTCTTATAGTTGGAAGGCACGGTGAGCAAGTCCTGGGAAAACTTCCTGAATTCCAATCCACCTCATCCTCTTAATACTCTGCTACCGGCAGCCAAATCGTTGCCCTGTGTCTCATTTCCCCAACTCTACAATAGAGATTGCAGTATTACCTCCACTATGGGAACCTTATCTTAATACATAGGCATGGAAATGCAAATGGCACCTGCAATGCAAGCATGAGTGAGGACCCTGATTGTCACCAAGAAGACTTGATCTGCAGACTGAGACATACTAGCCCAGAAATGGCATAGCTGGCAGTGGCCAAACCCAGGAATCCCAGCCTACCCTTATACCATTAGTATAAAAGCCTCAGGTGGAAGAGGCCATTCTCTCAAATCCTGCTTCTTTCCTCTGAAATGTGTAGGAACTCCAGCTGTCTTTGGCATTCTACAATCTAGAGGGAAAACAAACTAAAGACCAATAGAGAAAGATATACTGCCACCTTGTGGCTCTTTGGAGAGTGACTCTTCAGGCATTTTCATTACTTGTGGTCAAGTCTTTTCACAGCAATAGAAATCCTAACTAAGACAGTCTGGGGTGGGGGTGGGAGAAACACATACCAAAATGGATGGAAACAGAGATGGCATTTTCTATGTAACTTTAATCTGTTATAGCCCCATGATATCTTTTGTGTGTAGTCTGTAGCTTTGCCTAACAAACAACAGAGGGATGTTGACCTGAGTTTGATTTTTTATTTTCCCTTAATTCTCCCAACTCTACTTTCCAAGTATTAGAATTGCAGCCTATAGTTTGTGATCCTAGAGAAACTAAATAATAAGGAGAACCAAAAGAAAAACATATATTTATCCTCCTGGAAATTGGAAGTAGACAAGATTGCCAGGCAAAAGTTGGGAGCACGGGGGTGGGGGTGGGGTGGATGTAAGGGGAGATGGGTAGAGAGAAGGGAGAAGGGGAGGATTCGGAAGAGCTTGGAAGAATGGGATGGGTGGGATGGAGGACGGGTAGATATGTGAGCAGGGAAATAAATATCTTAATTAAGGGAGCCATTTTAGGGTTTGCAAGAGACTTGACTCTAGAGGGGTTTCCCAGGTCCAAGGGGAGGTCCCCAGATTGTTCCTTGGGCAGCACAGGAGAGGGTGCCTAAACTGACCTTGTCCCATAGCCATACTGATGAATATCTTGCATATCACCATAGAACCTTCATCTGGTGATGGATGGAGATAGAGACAGAGACCCACATTGGATCACTGGACTGAGCTCCTAAGGTCCAGATGAAGAGCAGAAGAAGGGAGAAAATGAGTAAAGAAGTCAGGACCGCGAGGGATGTGTCCACCCACTGAGATGATGTGACTGATCTAATGGGAGCTCACCAAGGCCAGCTGGACTGGGACTGAACGAGCATGTGATCAAACCAGACTCTCTGAATGTGGCTGTCAATGAGGGCTGACTGAGGAGCCAATAATAATGGCACTGGGATTTGATTCTACTGCATGTGCTGGCTTTTTGGGATCCTCGTCTGTTTGGATGCACACCTTCCTAGACCTGGATGGAGGGGGGAGGACCTTGGACTTCCCACAGGGCAGGGTACCCTGCCCTTTCTTAGGACTGGAGAGGGAGGAGTGGGGGGAGTGAGAGGGAAATAAAATAAAGCTCAAAAAAAAAGAAAAAAGAAAACGCCATCTTGTTTTTGCACAGAAGCAAGAAAAGGCACTACATACGAAATCCTAAGAAAGCAAAACTCTATTTGCCTCTTTTGATTGCTGGCTAAGGAGCTTCTTCTACACTAGTAAGGGCCAGCTCATCCTAGTTTCCTGTGCGTACTGATAATCCTATTTTCAATTTCTTTTTTTTTTAAGAATTCAATGACAATTTTGTATCCTGAAAAATCCCACTACTCTAAATTTTAATTTAAAATATCTAAAACACCCCTACACACACACACACACACACACACACACACACACACACACACACACA